TTTAGTATGTATTTTAGTTGTTGTAAAAAAAATTAATTAACTATGATAACAACTGGTAAAGAAAAAAAAACAAAATGGAAAACAAATCTAAAAACAAAAAGCTTCTTGAAAATAGTGCAACAAGTCAGGTTTCTCTATGAAAAAAATAAAAACCTAATAAAAAAACAAACAGATAAGACCTGTACTTTGATGGTATTTGTTGATAGTTTTGTCCAAATAATCAAAAGACACCCGTCGGTTACTGCGTGCTGGGGCAACTTGTATAGGAAAAAATAATCCATCACGAATCAAGATATATTAACTGTGAAATTGTTAACAAAATACAAATCAAACTAGGCTGTATAGTCCTAAGACCTTTGCCTGCCTTAAATGGCGAACTACTTTGAGAGTTGACCACAGCCACAGAGTACTTTTTTATGGAAAGAAGAGTTGACACTTGACAGTTGTTGAAATCATTCTGATTCTGATATTCTAACCAATAAAAAATATTTTATGACATAGTTTTTAAAATAACAAATTTAAAAATGATAAAAACATCTCAATTGATCAATTTTATTTCAAAAAGGGGAATATGTCTCACAACACCACGAGAAGGCAAAAGAAACTTTCGCAAGTTTGTAATAGCTAACAAAAGAGGTACACGAATACACAAACAGCAACAAATGTCTTCAAATCCTGAGTTAGAGATAGATAAACGTGGAGTTCGTGATGTAGGATACTATTTAAATGGTCGATTCGTCAAAGTTCCTGAGATGATTCCAGAAATCATAGTACCCGACTTAAAAGATTTTAATTTGAAGCCTTATGTTTCTTACAAAACTGAAGACGTTATTCAAAGTGAATTCACACCGAGACAGCTCTTTGATGCTATTTACAGTAAAAAGATTGTCACTGATTACAAACAAGGAAAGTTAGATGCAGATGGTCAACCACTTGAACCATCTGAGGAAGAAAAGTTACAACCTGAGGAAGCTATTTCGAGAGCAAAAAGAACCGGTTCTGATATATTTTAAATTGTTAATGTTAATATATATTTATGTATATATAGTTTAGGTGGTTAACATGCAAAAAATATATATAAAGATAGTTTTACTTGCCATATATTTATTTACACCTTAAATATATTTTTATCTACCAACCCCTCCCAGCTTCGCCTGTCTGGATCAATTATCATTTTATTATTTATTTCAAAAAAAATTAAGTTATTTTGGATAAAACAACCTAGATTACTTCTGGTATTGCTCTATATTAGAATGAAACGGATATCCGGTAACTATTCGGCCTATCCGGTCTAAAATTACTATCCAGCCGGATACTAGATAACAAATATCTATCTGGCCGGATACCGGATTTAAAAAAAAATATCAAATTTTGTTAAGTACTTCATTTATGTCACTTAACAAATATAATCAGTAATCACAAAATTTTCATTTCAAACTTACAAAATTAGTACTCGTACTGCGCTAAGGCACACAATAAATAATAGTATTACATAGCTAAGGGCAAATTATGTTGAATAAATACTAATTTCTCTGCATTGAAAGGTAACAAGATGTTTCGTCTGGCTTCATAAACAAGGCCAGTTTTGGGAAAAAATCTCGCTGTACACACTGCTGCAGGGTGCTGAAAGATAGATTTTGACAAACTGATAAATTTTGGTATTGTGTAGCAATACCTGCCCACTAAATATGAGGGTCACGATTGCAAACAGTTTGCACTGCACATCAAACGGCAATGTTCGGCAGAATATCCGGCTATCCAGCGATAAGACTGGCCGAATATCCGGTAATAGGTCAAACAGCTATCCGTTTCATCTCTACTCTGTATCTGTTCATGAAGTTTCACCATATTCAGTTCAAAGTGTAGCCTGGTCAGACAGACAGGCAAAATTTTTAAAAATGGTTATATCTTTGACATGCAATTAACCCCTCAAGCTCAATAAAAGTTGGTCATTACTGTATTACAGACTGGTACTTATTTATTATTTGGTATGGTATACATTATAAGAGATGTTAGAAAATTTTCAGTCAACAATATTAAGAACATATTATAAATGTTATAAATTATAAATATGTATTGGTATTAGTACAGTAAAAACCAAGTTTTTTTACAGGCTAGTCATTTATGTAATTTTCTTTTAAAAAAATCTTTTGAAATAATACATCAGTATATTATAGATACATCCAGTTAAAGTTCACTGCTGCTGAGGATAGGCCTCCCCATTAGATTGCATCAGGGGGAATATTTGCCATGCTTGGTAAGCGTGTTGGCAATTGCAGTTTTTTATTTTGTTTGTTATAAGGAAGACTGAAGATACTCCCCGTGCTCATCTCCTGATTTGTTTCCCTCTGCCACCTCTTACGATACCCATGGGATGACCATGACCCTATGGGGTAGTGGATATGAAGAATATCCACTGCCCTATGGGGTATTGGATATTCCTACACCACCAATAAATATATTGTACCCACAACATGGTGTTAGTATAATAATTTCTTATATTTTAAAAATCGTACTTTGTAAAGTAAAGTTATAGCCTATACACGGCCCCCTTTTGGGCACAGGTTTTAGGAAAAATGTGCCGGACTGCCCAGAAGCGTGTTGGCGGACTTCACAAGTCTTTCGGAATATTTTTTAGTTTTTAAGATGTTCAGGTTTCTTCATTATGTTTTCCTTCGTCTTCAAGCACATGCACTTAAAATTGCAATTTACAATTTTATTGCTGCTGGCAGGGATCAAACACGGGTTGCTCGCATACAGTGGAATTTACAGCAAGCACTAAACCCCTGAGCTTCCATGGCTCTCTAAAATTATGCATTGAATAAAAGTTAATTGGACAAAAACTAATAATTAAAAGATAAGCTGGTCCAGGTTAACTATGACATCAGGATTTTGAATACCTCATTGCCCCATTCCCTCCTAAAACCGTGGAACCTGCAAAGCGCCCACATTGCTGAAACCCATATTGATTTATTTTTGAATACCTGATCGAATGGACGCTCAAGGTCGCTCAGTGAGCTATGAGAGGGCTATGTTTCTCTTTTTCTCAGCGTGATAGACTCAGAAATGAGCATATGCACAGTAAAACCAGAGTGACCGACATAGCCCAACGGATTAGTAAGCTGAAGTGGCAATAGGCCGGCCATATAGCTCAAAGAACCGATAACCGATGGGGAAAAAAGGTTCTCGAGTGGCAGCCTCGTACTGGTAGCCTTAGTGTAGGGCTACCCCCACTAGATGGAGTGACAACCTGGTAAGTCATGCAGGAAATCGATGGATGCAGGTGGCTCAGGACCGTGCTTTGTGACATTACTTGGGAAAGGCCTATGTTCAGCAGTGGACTTGTGAAGGGCTGTAATGATGATGATGATCAAATAAAGAAAGCCACAGATGTGTTGTCACTCCTGAATATTTGAAAGAAATCTTTAACAGTTAATTATATTGGCACCTATTCATATCTTAATGCAACTCAACGGTGCGTTTCCGCTCGGTGGAAGAAATAGGTAATGATGCAATAAACCAAGTCTGACTCCTAATCAGAAAAGAAGCTCATCCACATATTGAAAATAACAAATATAAACGAAAAAACCATTATGTTCCTGTCGTCATTCAGCTCTTTTCTTCAATTTCCAGGAGGGTAATTTTACAGAATTTATTCTGCCAAACTACTCAAAAAAGGGTTAATGAACTTCATAATTTAATCTTAAGGTATTTTGAAGCATGGCAGCTTCTTGATCGTATTATTATTTACTGCCAAGCTTTTGTAAATTTGTAATTAACTATTACCATATTGCTGAAGCCAAATACTAAGCCCAAAACTATGTAGCTCAGGTTGTTTGTATACTAAAATATTTTATATTTGAATCCTGCCCCTTGACACCGAAGATCATGAAGAGATAAGACATAGCAAAATAAATAGTTTCTAATGTAAATCTCATAGTCTACTGATTAGCATATCCAAAGTAATAATATCCACAAAGGAACAACATAGCAAATTAATATATTTTCCAAATATTGTTTACTATACAAGTTTTTGTGTACTCATTACAATGAAAATGTTGAGCAATGGTTAGATGGCTTATTGGTCAGTTAGCGTATCTAGCTGTTGAGTTGCAGGTGCAAATTAAATCCCAGGATACAGAGTATAATTTTTCCTAACAATCCATTGTGATTGTTCCCTACATGTACATACCTACGTAATTGCTGCTGTGTTTAACGTCGGCCTGAAAGAATTACCTAATTATCTATTTACACAAATAAATAAAAGAAGTTTTGTAATGTCAAAATAACACATTTTTACTAAATGCATATATTATGTATGATACATATAACAAAAAAAAAATAATTTTTACAATTTTTGTCTGTTTGTCAGTCTGTTTGTTCCGGTTAATCTCCGAAATGGCTACACCAATTTTGACGAGACTCATTGGCAGATAGTTGATTTTAATAAGCAAATTGAGTTATACAAATGTTATAAGTAGTAACTTGGGCTTTTATTTTAGTAAAAGAATTAGGGTTCAAAAAAACCCATGAAATTAAATTGTAATTAATATCACGCGGACGAAGTTGCGGGCGTAGCTAGTAGTAATAAGAGGCCTAAAATTACACTAAAAAGTTTCTTTCTAAATATCTATGTTTTGTTAAGTCAATGCCTATTAACATGTTCTAATGGTACCAATAAATAGGTTGCGTCTTGATTCGATAACAGAGGCCGTAACTAGTTATCTAAATAATAAGTATTTTTTAATAAATACATAGACGGTACTGCAATGACTTATGACCCTAATTTATCTTAAAGTTGTAAGTTTGTTTTAAATAATAACTCGTAGGTAGGTACCAAATCATTTAAACGGGAGTTATCAATACGCGCGGTTGTCAGGCGTGTGCACATAATTCAAACCAAAAATCAAATCCAACCGTTAACATAATCACATAAATATATATATATATATATAATGGGTGGTCACAATTCAAAGAGTATATTAAGTAACTATTCCGCCATGGATCCGATGGACGTGCCAGTCCCCGACTTAGATAAATTATTTGAACGAGATGGGTATTTAAAGCCCTATGAACGGGAAATTCGTCGTCGGTAAGTGTTTTTATTTATTTAATGCAAGTAATAATTTAAAACACCAATTATTTACCGAAATATCGAAAACGCAAATGATACTTTACTAAATATTAGGTTTATAGGTTATGTCGCTTTGGTATCAGGTAATGTTTACGAAGTTTCCAACATCAAGCGGTTTAGCGCTTTAATGCTTTATTGTGGTACGCGTCCTACAAAACAAAATATTACTGTTTTGACAAGTTTTTGCAAAAATTACAAGAGTTAACATAAATTTAGTAATATTACTATGGTATTTATATTTTATTGCTCAAAGTGATAGTAAATTTTATTTAAATTAAAGCCATGAAAACATTTGATATTTAAAGCACTTTAGCTGCTATCTTGATTTTTTCAATGTCAAACGAAAGGTCGTTCTTGATTCGTTTTGATAAAAGCTTTCTGTTTTTCACAGCAATTTTAAATGAAAGTTACATAAATTTAAATTATTTATTTATAGTTTGAAACACAAAACAATATTATTTGAAATCACCAGTGAAACGAATAGATAATTTCAGGGTCCTTATTTATTCATGTTTACGTTTATGTAGGTACGTACTACCAGTACCTACTTATATGTAAACTTATATAATTTTAATGATTAAATACCTATTTTTATGTCCGTGATTGCAATAAGTAACGAATTTGTTACAATGCATAAAATAAGTTTAAGTTATATAAACATCATTATAAAAATTGCAGGTAAAGATTGAAGAATAAAGATGTTTTATTGCAATACCCTCAATATTACCTACAATTATTTATCATTTTATCACCGATACTTTTGCTAGATTTTCTTTATTTACAACACATTATATAAATATCTCACAGGACCCATAGTCCAGTCACTTTAGCATTAAAAAGGGATCAACCTCGGAATGAGAGATAAGCTGAATTTTCGTATATATCCCTTCATTTTGGCGTTATAAAAGTTGTCTCAAAAGTCTCCTAAAATCTCGTGTATTATTCAAGGTCAAAGGTAACAAAAAAAAAGTTTTTCGTGATTATCTCGGTTTCTATGGCCAGCTACTCGCGGGGTAAGAAATAAATAACTGCGGAATAAAGATAAAATAAAAATTTATTAACTCGTTTTACTTCTACTAATAATTTACTTTGAATTAAATCTGTAGAAAATTCATGTCTGTAATTCTAATATATTCATGAAAAAACAAGTCCAGAGGACTAAATAAAGGGGACTAAATGAAGCCAAATTAGTGGTTTTTAAAAAATTTGTCTTTCTGACTGTGTATTCAGGATTCATGCAAAAACTACTGTAACGATTTACATGTTTTGTATATAGATATTTAGTAAACCGGGGCAACTTTTAGGCTAACTTTACTCCGATTACGGAACTTCAAAAAAAGAAATTTAAGTATTTTCCTTCCTTTAGATGTTAATTTTCTTTTATAGATGGTTATGTTAGTTATAGGGTGGTGTTTTTTCAAATAAATACCAAATTTTTAAATAAAGTTTAAAATAAAGTTATTTTAAACTTTATTTAATTAAATTTAATCTTGGTAAAATACGCCGACGATCTACGTTTTAGTTATCAAAACAGTGTCATCTATCATCAGATGAAAAAGTATTTTACATATAAACAACTTACATTTGTAACAAAGCACTTACAGTTATAATATATTTAAATCATTGAATTTTTAATATTTAGTTAGTTTTATTTTTGGTACATATTTAATTTTAAAAGTGTAATAATTTTAATAAATAATGGTGACGTCTATCAAAAATATGAAAATTGATATGGTTTTCATTTCAATTACTAATCTGTATGTTAACTGATTAAAACTGGTCTGCCTTAATCAGTTATTTATATTCACTTTAAATTCATATTACGATTGTTAAATTTTCATTATTCTTACCTATAGTTTTATCAGAGATCTTTTTTATATATTATGTCGTGGCCAGATCGTAGAATTGATCATTTATCATAAAGTAGTCCATCATTTCGTGAAATGGTGTCAATTTATGATATTTAACACTGTTTGTTGACCATGTCATGAATGATATAGCTTGACCAAATCATTGAATAGATATCGTTTGACGATATTTATAACTAAACGCGACATTGCTATTTCATGATAATTATGGTCATATCGTCCAATCGTTTTTCAACAATAGCGGCGCTGATAGCGTATTTTTTAACAAATCAGAAACAGAACTTTTAACAGAATTGACATCACTGTACCTTATTGATATAATAAATGTTCGCTTCTGTCGCTGGTATTACTAGATAGTATAGTTTTGGCTTTCATTACTTCATCCTTAGAGAATATACTGGCGTGATTTTATCTTATAATAGCGCCATCTACTATTAATAAACTAAAATGATAGGATACTGATCATTCATCATCATCATTACAGCCCTTCACAAGTCCACTGCTGAACATAGGCCTCCCCCAAGTAATGCCACAAACCACGGGCTTGAACTGCCTGCATCCATCGACTTCCTGCATATCTTACCAGGTCGTCACTCCATCTAGCGGGGGGTCGCCCTACACTACGCCTACCGGTACGAGGCTGCCACTCGAGAACCTTTCTTCCCCATCGGTTATCGGTTCTTCGAGCTATATGGCCGGCCCATTGCCACTTCAGCTTACTAATCCGTTGGGCTATGTCGGTCACTCTGGTTTTACTGCGGATATCCTCATTTCTGAGTCTATCACGCAGAGAAACTCCGAGCATAGCCCTCTCCATAGCTCGCTGAGCGACCTTGAGCGTCCTCATACGGCCAGCAGTGAAGGACCACGTCTCTGATCCGTAAGTCATCACTGGCAACACGCACTGTACACTTTAGTTTTCAGAGATTGAGGTATACCTGACGAGAAGATGTGTCGTAATTTCCCGAACGCTGCCCAGCCGAGTTGAATCCGTCGATTGACCTCTCGGTCGAAGTTGGACTTACCTAGTCGGACTATTTGTCCCAGGTAAACATACTCGTCAACAACTTCGAGCATAGTGCTCCCAACAACTACCGGCATAGGTGTGACATGGACATTAAACATGATCTTTGTTTTGTCCATGTTCATCTTAAGACCTATCCGTTGGGAGGCACTATTGAGGTCATTGAGCATAGTGCTTAAGTCCTCCAGCGATTCTGCCATAAGGACTATATCGTCGGCAAATCGAAGGTGAGTGATGTACTCGCCATTGATGTTAATACCGTATCCTTTCCAGTCCAGTAGCTTGAAAACGTCTTCCAAAGCAGCGGTGAAGAGTTTCGGGGATATAACGTCACCCTGTCTTACACCTCTCTGCAGTTGGATAGGTTTCGAGCTCTGGTTTTGTACTCGGATAGCCATCGTAGCCCTACTGTACAAACACTTCAGCACTTCGATATACCGACAGTCAACTTGGCACCGCTGAAGGGACTGCAGCACCGCCCAAATTTCGACGGAATCAAAGGCTTTCTCATAGTCCACATACGCCAGGCAAAGTGGCAAATTGTACTCTTCAGTCTTCTGTACAATCTGCCGCAGGGTATGTATGTGGTCTATGGTACTGAAGCCTTTTCGGAAACCGGCTTGTTTGGGAGGCTAGAAGTCGTCGAGTCTGCGTGCGAGACGATTCGTAATGACTCTCGAAAACAGCACGTAGACGCGGCTCAGAAGGGAAATCGGTCTGTAGTTCTTCAAGAGAGCGTTGTCGCCTTTCTTAAAGAACAAGACCACCGCACTTCTGCTCCACGCCTCTGGAGTAGTGCCACCATGGAGGACGGAATTGAAGAGCCTCTGAAGGACTTCCAGTACCGGTGTTCCACCCGCTTTCAGAAGCTCCGCTGTAATTCCATCCTCGCCTGGGGCCCTGCCGTTTTTAAGGTGCTGGAGAGCCATTCATATTCATATCGGGATATCATCGGAATAGTGTCGGGTAAGACTTGCTCTTGGATCGTTATTCACACTTGCGTGTGGCTCCAACGATGATGTGTACAGCTGCCCACAGACCTTTCAATCTTACTCAAAATCTCAGGTGTCCCGGAAACGATGCTGCCACACTCAGTCTTCAGCTTTGACAGTTGGCTCTTTCTGGCAGACAGATCTCTGGCAAAGACTTTGGAGCCCTGGTTCCGCTCGATCGCTTCTTTAATACGAGCAGTATTAAAGTTGCGTAAGTCTCGCCGCATGCATTTGGAGATCTGTCTGTTCAGTTGCCTGTATGCTGTCAAATCTGTTGACGACTGCAGCCTCATCTCCCGTCTAACAGCCATGAGATTAAGAGTGTGATCGGAGAGTTTTTGTGTTCTTCTGCGGTGGGTCTTGCAGAACTTAGCTCCGACCGCATGGACAGTTTCCACGAGCTTGTCATTCATATCGTCCACTGCATTGCAATCTTGTAGGCACTGAAAGCGGTTGTGTAACTCGAGCTGAAAGTTTTCGGGATTCTGGATTAGAGCACGAGGGGGGACGGAGCGTTGACTTCATTAGACGAGACCTCTGCAACTTAACGTTTAGGTTCAGTGTGCCTCTAACCATTCGGTGATCGTTGCCAGTTTTCACCCTTGCGATCATGAGACATCACTGAACAGTTGGCGTCTGGTCGTCATAATGAAGTCAATCTCAATTTTTGTCGAACCGTCGGGGCTCGACCAGGTCCACTTCCTGTGGGGCCGCTTCTGGAAGAAAGAGTTCATCATAAAGAGTCCCTCTTTCTCCATAAAGTCGGCCAGCTGCTGGCCCCTTCGGTTCCGTTGCCCTACTCCAAATTTCCCTAACTTCAGCTCACCGCTTTCTCTTGTGCCTAGTTTTGCGTTGAAGTCTCCCATCAACACCGTGTAGGATACTGATAAAATAAAATAATAGAATTCTACTGAGTATATGGTGTAAGTAGGGTTACCAACTTTGGAAAGGCCAACCCCGCAGAATTTTTTGTAATCGAGTACGGGGTGAGGGGGGGGGGGGGATAAAATCCCAATCATTTAAAATTAATTTTTAAATTTATATTTACTTTCTTTTCGAGCAACACCTAATATT